GTAAAGCTCAGTGCCCAAGACATTCAGAGCCGGCCTCACTACTGGGGGTTCCAGACAGATGGGCAATGCTCATTAAATAAACCTTGCAGGAGGTGCAAAATATCAATAGGTAGAGGTGGATCCTTCTTTGGGCTGTATCTAAATGTCTCCTATGTTCTGAGAGTCTGGCTTGTGCAACACACACAACAGCCTCTTTAACACGTTTTCTGGACAGACATTATCTCTAGGCCTAAGCTTGGAATCCTGTACACAAGTTCTGGTTCTGATGCTACATCTGGGCATAGATTAAGTCCTACCTGCTGCTTCTCTGGCTTTCTATTTTAAAATAGGGATATGAAATTGGCTGGGTATGTAACCTTTTTCGTGGGTTTCTGGTTAGGATTATATTCATACATATAAAGTTACTTGCAAGCTACAGTAAAATATAAGAATGAGATTATGTCTCACAATTCTTGTTACAAATAGTAAAGATAACTTTATCTGTAACTATGTGCTTTTCATTTACTGAAACCTTTTATTTATTTATTTATGTATGTATGTATGTATGTATGTATGTATTTATTCATTTATTTTTTGGTCTTTTTGAGACAGGGTCTCCCTGTAGCCTCAGCTGTCCTGGAACTCACTATGTAGACCAGGTTGGCCCTGGACTCACAGAGATCCACCTGCCTCTGCCTCCCGAGTGCTGGGAGTAAAGGTGTGCGCCACCACAACTGGCACCCTTTTTTTAAAAAATTTTTTTTTAATTTTTGATAACTCTTTGGGGACAGGCAGTTGGGATTCAAAGATGAATAACCCCTCGCCTCCATCTTTGGAATCTGAAAAGTACAGGGAGGGAAACAGTAGGTAGAATTGCTAGTGTAAGTTCAATGTGCTGGGACAAGGCTGAGCTGGAGTCTACAGGAGCTTTGCTCTTTCTTAGTGGTGCTGCTGAGAATGAGAATGTTAAAATCAGATATCAGCTGGCATGCTCAGTGTAAAAGAGGATGGGGAGGGCAATTTTTAAAAAGTTCAGTTCATACTCTGTGCAGGTACTTTACACCCACCTTACTCATAACAAGCTAGAAAGCTAGGTATTATTGTGCCCACTTTGTAGATGCAGAAGCTGAGGAAGTAGGAAAAATTCCATAGATTTTGTTTCTTTTCTATGTGTGTGAGTGTATTGCCTGCATGTTTGTAAGTGCACCCGTGTTGTGCAATGCCCATAGAAATCAGAAGAGAGCGTCAGATTCCCCTGGAACTGGAATTATGGACAGTTGTCAGCTGTCACATGGGTGCTAGGAATCGAACCTAGGTCTTTTGCAAGAGAACTCAGTGCTCTTAACTGCCGAGTCATCTCTCCAGCCCCAATTTCCATATTTTTATAAAACTAAAACATTTAAGGCCAAAATTTAAACCCAGGTTCTCCACCGGCAGGCTTGGGGCTTTTCTTCCGTGCTTTGTTACTTTTTCAACAGCCAGTGTTTTGACAGAACTCATTCCAGGCTCATCTTTTTTAAAAAATTTATGTATTATTTTTATTTTATGTGTACGAATGTTTTGCCTGCATGTATGTAAGTGCACTATGTGCTTGCAATACCCACAGAGGCTAGAAGAGGCTGTTGGTTCCCCTGGAACTGGAGTTACAGACCGTTGTTAGCCACCATGTGGGTGGTGGGAATCCAATCTGGGGTCCTCTAGAACAGCAAGTGTTAAGTGCTAAGTGTTAAGTCTCCCCAGCCCCTCATGCTAATCTTGAATGAGCTTCCTACTTGGATTGTTTTTCCCAGGAGAGAGATTTGGCAGTGACCCTTCTATTAGTCTTTTCCTGTCACACTTCTCTCCTGCTTCACTGCCCTGACTTCTCTCTTCCAGTCCAAGTGAAGGCCAAGGAGTCAAGTAACCCAAGAAAGGAAGAGCCTGTAGAGAGAACTCTCTGCTTCCTTAGCCACCAGCCCATAACACAGACATAAGGGAAAACATCTGCATATAATTCTGCCCAAGGAGTCCAGAAAGACCAAAACATGACTTTAATTTCTGAAGCTCTAAGAAGTCTCAGAATCTTATTTCCAGATTGCTTATTCTGCACATAAGGAAAGGGGAGACTGGAGAAGGTGAGAAGACACACTCAGGGGCACATGTCAGTGAGAAGCAGAGGCTAAATTAGAACCCAGGCCAGTGCTTTCCACTAAATAGACTTACCTCCTTAGCTTCTTCCACTGACAACTCGATTTATATGAGATTATAGCTCTTTCAGGAAGAAAGCTCAAAATTGGGATCTCTGCAAAGCCCAGAAGCTGGGGGCCCCTGCTTGGCCTCGGCTTTGATTCACTTATCTTACGTAAAGAACAGGGAGTGGCTTTGTCTTTCAGCCATGAAAGCACATTTGGGGGCATGGGAACTGGTGATTTGGGGAAAAGGGGTCCAGTACACGATGGTTAGGAGTGATTAGCAGACAGTTTAGTCTTGCTTAAAAAAGAGGAAGTGTAAGGTCTGGCATTTAAGGGGCAGGTAAGGGCTGACCTTGAGCTCAGGATAACTTCTTCAAGCCCCAGGGTGGAGATGGGAGAGAATTCTTGTCTGCTAGCCCCTTCTGATGGAGGGATGCAGGAATGGGGTTGAAGCAGGAGCATGGTGGGGGGATTTGTAGAAACTTTATACAACCTCAATGTTTCCCTCACTCTCTGCTAGCACTGACAACTTCCTCTACCAAGGGAGGAAAGGAATGTATTATTCAGTTTAATAATTTATGTAAACTGAAGATTTTACTGTGTGAAATAAAGGGGCCATAAGAGGGCAAAAGAGAAATAGTCTCAAGTCCTCTTTAAAAGAACAGAGGAACCAAAATGAATACATGAATGAATAAAGAAAGAGAGAAAGAAAGAAAGAAAATAAGAAAATGCTGAATGTGGTGGCTCCCACCTTTGAATCGAAGCACTTGGGAGGCAGAGGCAGGTGGATCTCTGTGAGATCAAGGCCAGTCTGCTCTCCAAAGTGAGTACCAGGCCAGCTGGGACTTCAGGGGTACCGTGTCTCAAAACAAAAACAAAACAAAAAAGGAAGGAACTGTGAAGGTGATCTTTATTGATTGCCTTGCTCTGGAATATAGATGTTTAATGTGAATTGAGCAAGCGCCCCTCCCTTCAATGGTAAGTCAGCCCCTCCCTTCAGTGGTCAGCCTGGGATATAAGACAGCATGGACCTGGGTCCGTGGATGTCCTAGGAAAGAAGTGACTGGGTATGTGCTTGTCTGTATCAGTGACTCTCACACTTGAAAGCCTGCTGATCATCTGGGGAGCTTATTACAAATCTAGATCCCAGGGAACCAGGCTCAGGGACTGATCAGGTAGATCGGCTACATAACAGGAATCTTCTTTTTTGACAAGTGGGTTTGGTTTAAGAACCATCATCTTGTTCAGCTATGTCTACCAAACTAGCAGAGATTTTACGTAAGAAGCCGGTTTTTCAGTTAAGAAAAACCTAGTTGGCAGCAACACTTGGGCTAGAATACAATCCCTTCCTGCTGGTATAGTGTTTGTGGCAACATCCTCACCCCTGGCTTTTCACCCCTGCCTTCCAGGCACTTGGGAGTCTAAGTAGACCAAACAATCCAGAGGAATCAGCAGCCAGGTGTTTTGAGTCCCCATTCTGAGCCTTGTGGAAGTGTTGGCTAAGGGACTGGGGTGAAGGTCATTTAAGGGTACTCTCAGAGAGCTATCTTCTGTATCTTTGGGCATAACAAGCTGAGAGCCTCACTGAGGGCCTCTAAGGCACACTACCCAGCTGTGAGCCAGAGCAGTAGGTGGTTTACACAAGCAGCTTGTTGTCCAATGACAGGTGAATAGACTATTTGGGGGGCTATACTTTGATATACAACCCAGGCTAGACCCCTGCTTCTGCCTCTCCAGTGCAGGAATGACAGGGATGTACCATCATATTTGGGTTTGAACTGTATACAGCAGAGGTCAAAGCAAGGAATCCAGAGGGAAGGATTTTTAGTAATTCAGGTGAAAGAAGATGGCAGCTCTGACTGAGGAGGCCAGAAAGCAGAAAGTGAGAAGGGTTTGGATTCTGGATGACTTTAAAAGTATGTAACTAATGCATTTTTTAATGGTCTGGATGTAAGAAGTAAGATTCAAAAATTAGTTAACCATTGGGCCAAGGCTTTGGCTTAAGTCCTGGGAGGCTGAGGGAGGGATAGCAGGCGTCTAGCCTTGCACATGCTGGGATTGCAATGTGTGTCACTCATACCAGGGAAACATGGCATAGACTACTGGACACACAAGCCTGTGGTATGGGGGTAGGGGAGCTGGACACACAAGACTGGGGTACAGGGAGGCTTGGATACACAAGCCTTGGGCATGGGGGGTTGAACCATTATCCTAGGGGTGGCGGCAGAACACATAAGCCTGAGATACAAGGAGGCTGTACATACACGCCTGGGGTACATGGGGCAGGAAAGGTTTGGCAGCATGACAGTTTCACACAACTGGAGGAGACCATCAGGGACTACGGACAGATCAGAGAAAGCCAAGGACCTTGTCTGGGGACCCTCCTGCATCAAGAGGCCAGAGAGAAAAGACACTGAGGAGTGACCAGTGAGGTAACAGGAAACCCTGGAGCAAGTGGAGTCCTAGAAGCTGAGTGAACAAAATGTTTCCAGGAGGAAGGAATGACAGGTTGGGTCTGATGCTGCTCCAGGGAGGTGAGAGCAGGTTGAGAACTATTGGATGTAGTAGCCATTGGAAGACATTGGTGGCCATGACAGGAGCAGCATGACACCTGACTGCATGGAGCCCTTGTTTACTACTGACTGCTGTTTAGGGATTCTTGTGAATCTCGCTTTCCAAATTAGGTTGTAAACTTTGTAACATCAGGGATGTTGAGTCGGTGTGTTCCCCAAGCACCCGGTCCTTGGCAGCTGTGGGGCCTCATGGAACCTGCTGAAGATCCTTCGTGGTTTACCAGCACACTCTGCCACTGGGGCACTGGCTAGAGCAATTATCCTCATTCCTGCTTACCTTGGACACAGAATTTCAGTTCCTTTGGGTCTGTGACACTCTTCCTACTTTCCCGGATCACAGCCCGGTTCTTCTTGGTTTCTCCCCAGAGATTGGTGCCTCCGTACATGCTGGGAATGTTAAGAATGGCAATGCCTTCCAGGAAGATGTTGCTCAGGTCCACTTCAACTCCGTCACACTGGGAAGCAGAGAGAAAAGGCCATTAGTGTCCTCAGCGGATGGCACCGTGCTGTGTGTGGTGGGGGCTGTCTTAATGTGACAGGTCCTCAGCCACCCTGCCACTCTCAATCAGAAACTGGATCTCTGACAACTCTTCAGGTTTAAGGCTTTGACCATTGTAGTGAGATGGAGAGATCTAGTCCTGGTCAGCTCTGGAAAACAGCACAAGATTTCCAGAGGGCTGGAAACACTTCTGGATGCAATTCTAGACCAAGTCAGCTGCCAAACCACTGTCCAGTCCAACCTCAGTTCAGTTCCTTCCTAGTCACTGTGAAGAGTTGCAGGGTCACTGGGTCCAGAAACCAACCCTGAGTAGATTTTCAACAAATGCCAGAAAAATATCATTGTATTCCTTTATTTTATCCTCTCCCCCAACACCTACCCAGTGAGAAGTACAAGACTTCTGGGTTTGGGAGGCCTTCCAATTTGCCTCTCTCGTATCTGTTGCAAGTACAATTCTGGCACATGTTCTTGCTGATGTGGAGGAGTTGCTTTATTCAATTTCTACCACCGGCATCCCCCAGCGGTACAAAAGGCCAGAAGGCTTGAATCTGTATGTCTCACATAGCTGTAAAGCTGGCCTACTTTGGCATAATGCTTACCAACACAGCAAGTAATACATTAGCTCTGGTCCTTGTTCCTCAGGATTGTTGGTAATTTATTTCATTTACAGAAAAGCAAACTGGACCTAAAGAGATGTGGTATGCTACCCAGGAATGTACAGATGAACCCCACATTTGTGGAATTTGTTTCTTATCTTACTTATTTTGACAAAGAAAAAAAAATACAATAAAAATCTCCTGTTACCTGCGTTACCTCCTGCTGTGCTTTGAATATCTCGACCAATTTCACATTGAAAATTAACAGTATTAGGATTAGATGAAGTCATGAGAACAGGGCCTCATGATTTCATTGGTAGCTTTGTAAGAAGGGAAAGTGAACCAGGATGTGATGCTTGAATTGCCTCTGCAGAGTCCCCACTAGCCAAAGGTCCTATCAGATGAAGCCCTTTGACCTTGAACCTCCAGACTGTGAGGGTTGAACCTTTATTCTTCCTGAATTTCCCAGTTTATTACATTTAGGACCAACAGAAAGTGGTCTAACCCTAGAATTTAAACTTCTGGAGTTTTTAACAGAGGAAGAGAAGTAAGGCTTGATATCACTCATAGTGACTCACTACCTGATTTCTTTGAAGTTCTAAATCAATGTTATCACCCTCCTAACTTGTTTCCAAACTGTACAGTGAGATTTTCTGGTAACTGGGATTCATTTCTTCGTTGGGGAGTTTGGATAATTTGGCCTCTTTAAGTGGTGCAGACTTTCTTCTTGGATTCACCATTAGTTCTATTCTCTGAGCTAGGTGAAATGGTCTTTCCTTTCACCCCTTTCTCCTCCTGCATGGGGCCAGGCCAGCTGGCACACTACAAGGAGATGACTGTCATTACTTAACGTGGTGTGTATGGGGCCTGTGGCTTGGGCTCAGTGGGCAGAGTGCTTACCTAGCATGTCTTCACAGCAATCCTATCTGTTACCATGTATATTTGGGGAAACTGAGGCACAGAGAAAGCTGAGTAGCTTGCTCAACATCACACAACGTGCAGGTGGAAGCATGCAGATTTCAAAGCAAGCAGTCAGAGCTTCAGACTTAACGCTCCCCACCCTCACCCCCAGTGTGGCTAAGCATCTCTGAGCTGAATGTGGCCAGCGCTCCTAAACCCCTCTTGGGACTCAGCTTTCAGAACTTTCCTTATTTTTACTGTTTTGCACACACTGCAGTTTGTTAGCTGCCTAATTGGTAAGGTCTGTAGCATTGAAAACAGTACCAATAACAGGATCCAGTTGGGCAGGTGGCAGTATTTTTGGGGGCTGGACTTCTATGACATTATGACATCCCTAATATGAGATGATGTACAAAGCATCTGTAAGAGCTCAATACAGTCCCTAGCTCATTATCCTTACTGTGAATATAAGAGCTGCACTAGCTCTTTTGTTTGAAGCTGGATGATGAGGTGTCACTTCAGCCTGCATGGGATTCATCTCAGTCACCCTGACCTTCATCCTTCCATCTGTTTCTCAGTCCGCATATGCTGGATAGCTTCAGTTGTCAACCTGAGACACCTGGGTGGAGGTAACCTCAACTGAGGAATTTCCTCCATTGGATTGGCCCTGTGGCCATGTCTGTGGGACATTTTCTTGACTATAGGGTAATGTGAGAGGGCTCAGCCCACTGTGGACCATGCCACCCCTGGGCAGGTATATCTTTGTTGTATAAGAAAGCAGTCTGGGGCTGGCGAGATGGCTCAGCGGTTAAGAACACTGACTGTTCTTGCAAAAGACCCAGGTTCAAATCCCAGCACCCATATGGCAGCTAACAACTGTCTGTAACTCCAGTTCCAGGGGATCTGACAGCCTCTTCTGTCCTCTGTGGACATTGCACGACTCGGGTGTACTTACCTATACGCAGGCATAGCATGCATACATATAAAATAAAAACAATAAATAAAATATTTTTAAAAAAGACAAAAGAAAAAGAAAGCAGTCTGAGCCTGGGACAGAGAAGCAAGCCAATAAGCAGTGTACCTCTATAGTCTGTGCTCCAGGTTCCTGTCCTGAGTTCCTGCATTGACTGTAAGCTAAATAAACCCTTACCTCCCCAAGTTGGTTTTGGTTAGTTTTTTTTTTTGTTGTTGTTGTTGTTGTTTTTTCAAATCTTTATACAGGATTTGAAAATAGAGCTTAGACATGGGATTGACACTTACATTAATTAATTTCAATTGGCTCTCAGTCCAAGTCCCCTCAAGTCTAATAAGCTATTCATTCTGTGACCTTTGTCATTGCTCTCCTATCATTTGGGGACCGAGTTATTAATACGTGTGTATAAATGGAAAAAGCCAGGGTACCCATTATGCTGAGTTTACACACATTGTTTTTTTGTTTTTTTTTTTTTGAGACAGGGTCTCCCTGTAGCCCCAGCTGTCCTGGAACTCACTATGTAGACTAGGCTGGCCTTGAATCACAGAGATCCACCTGCCTCTGCCTCCCAAGTGCTGGGACCACCGGTTCACACAAATTTTCTAAATAACTCCCTGACAACTTCTATCAGAAAAATTTTCATTTTTATTTTTTGAGATGGCCTTACTATGTAGTCCTGGATGGCCTGGAACTTGCTATGTAGACCAGGCTGGTGTCAAACTTTGAGATCCACCTGCCTCTGCCTCCTGAGCGCTGGCATTAAAGATGTGTGCCAGTACAACTGCCTCTCTAACAGAAAAGTAATAAAAGAACCATATTGTCAACAATATGATGCACTGATGGGTATTAACCATCTATCCTAGAGTCTTTCCAGGGACTGAACGAAGCATATCAGTGTGTGCTTTCGACAATCTGCCCTTTTGTTTTTTGAAAGCTGGTGTGACATTGGTCATTAGCTAGAACTTACTGTTTTTTAGACTTGTCAGAGTGACTCCTGAAGAACATCTAGAGGTTTTTCAGCAACTTGGATTCAAATATGTGTGAACTTTTCAAGGCCAGTTAGTTCTTTATTGTTCTGCCTTTAGACGTGGTAGTGCGTTTAGCATCTGTTCTTCCACTTTTAGTTTAGGCCCACTAGTCACTGGAAAAGAGGAAAACTAGAACGGCAGAGTCTTGCTGAACTACACTTTCCAGGTTTTCCTTTTTCTGTTGTTTTGATTTAGACCTCATCTGATCTTCTCCTCGGTCTGTCTGTCTGAAGCCAGGGTTGTAGGTCTGAGGTGTCTGTCCTGTGGTCGGTCACTCCTGGGAATGTGCCCACAAGCTTGCCTTTGCGTCTCTGTGTATAATCCCTTTAAAACACAGCTCATACTGGGTTCCCTTTTCTTAATATGATTAATGACTTGTTAAGAATTTACTTTGGAATGTCTCCTAACCCTTCCACCCTTCCTGTGCCTAATTAGGAATTCAGGCTACAGTTCCCTGTGCCAAACTACTTCTCTTCGCTCTGAAATAAGCTTTCCTCAACTCTGTGTCTGGCATTGTCCCCCTTCCTAGCCAGATGGCCACTTCCCTTCCTGGTTGTAGTTTCCCCCACAGCTCCTCCAGTCACTGCTGACTGAAATATCTCCTCCCTTCTGAGAAGTAATTTCCTTGGGCACCAGGCTGGCCTTCACCTACACTGTCTTTTAGGATCTAATTGGCGAGGGAGATACCATTGTTACCCCAATGGGTGATAAGGGTACTGGCTTAAGGCCGCAGAACTTGCCATCATGCAGTTAGCGTGCCGACACAGGGGCTGGATGCTGGATTCTACCCTAAAGATGAGTCAGTGAGGCTGATGCTAGACTTAAGCAAAATTCAACTTCCAGCTGTTTCAATAATTGAAATTTCTCACTCCTGCTCTATCTTGTAAATGCTGGGAGCAGAGCCTGACAAACCAGAATCCAACATTAATGTTATTGTATCCTGTCTTTGTGCCAGATTCATTTAAAGAAAAACGACACAAAACCAAGGAAGTATGCCACCAGCATACTGCTGGGCAAATCATATTCCATGGTTACTTTTCTTCCTTGCTTGGAATTTTTGTTTGTTTTGTTTTATCGTTTGGAGATGAGGTCTCACTATGTAGCCCCAGGTTACCTGGAACTCACTATGAAGACCAGGCTGGCCTCAAACTCACAGAGATCCACCTGCCCCTCAGGTACAGGGATTAAAGGCCTGTGCCACAAATGCAGGGCTCCTCCTTGCTTGGAGTTTTAAGCAGATTCTGTTTACTAGGGGTGTTAGCTATTAACTTAGTAACTGTTGCTGCCTCCCTGGGAGAGCAGACAGACCTTAGTCTAGTTTCAGATAAACTGCTCTCCCTCATTCTCTCATAGGTCCAGGGTAAAATGGGGCAAATAGGAGAGATGGGAGGACCTTGAGGCACTTGACACAGAAGTTCTCCACGCTTGAAGTGCACCTACTTGGAAAAGTACTTTGGAA